AATCTAACTAATGAGACAAGGAAAACCAAACTGAACATGAGACGGGGGACGATCACAGTAAAAAAGGAAGCAACAAACACTGAGACCAGGACCAAGACTTGTAAACTGTACAGAACTAAACAGGGAACACGGAGACAGGACACAGAGAGACGGGGTCATGACTGACTTCCTCTCTGGGGACGAGAACCAGAACCATGCTGAACTGAAGACTAAATAATAGAGAGCTTGAACATAAAATTCCACATGAGACATAGAATGAGTCCAGAACAAAACACTGGGTCGAAGACCCAGGATCATGCCGTAGAAAGATGGAGACCTTATATTTATCAGTTTTATTCTGGGCTCATATTGAATCGACATCGCAACTGCCGTCTTCAGCTCTGAACAGATTATGAAACACTGAATGATTTCAGGCAAAAACACTGTCTCATAAACCTGCATCTTTTATTCTTCATTCAGATTGGATGACTGCAGTTTGTCAGATGTCAGTTCTCTCGCCATCGCTCTGAAGTCCAACCCCTCCCATCTTAAAGATCTGGGTCTGAGCTGGAACAGTCTTCAGGATTCAGGAGTGGGAAAGCTGTGTGGTTTCCTAGAGAGGCCAGACTGTATGCTGGAGTCTTTGAGGTCAGTCACCATGTTGTTCTTGTAGTGATATGCATATGATGTAAACGCTGTGCTGACAGTAAACAGAAAGCTTTTAATAAAATGATGCGCACTGAGGATTAGGCCAATGACTGTAGCAGAGCAACGTTCTCATTTCTGGATAATTCACTGTGAATGCACTCGTCCATCCTGATACGCTTGTTTTCTTCTGAAACATGTTTGTGTTCCCTCCCTCATGGACATGTTTCAGTGATTTACTAATCCAAGGCTGGTTATTGTGGAAAATTGTTCCTGTTTTCAATGTAATCCCCATTTTTCCCAGAAAGAAGTAGAAATACACGACACACCTTATGATTTAACGGTTGATGGTTTTTGTGACTGCACTTGGCGACACATTCAAATTTTTAGCAATTTTCCTTAAAGAAATGATGGACTGTTGTTTCTTTTTACTTAGCTGATTGGTTCTAATATGAAAAATAAAATAGGGCTAACAGCTATGTACCAACCTGACTTCTGCACAACACAATTGATGGTCCCAAGCAAGAAATTCCACAAATGTACCAATAAATGAGAAGGTGTGTCCAAACCTTTGACTGAAGTGTGGATGATCTAAGTGAGAACATGAGCCTTTAAAAAGTCCCAGTGGGTGCAGTCAAAGCAGTCCCTCAGTCCCAGT